TTTTCAAGAGCTAATGCTAGCGCATGAATCTACTCACTTGTGAACACCGGCCGAGACGGTTGATGCGGAAGCAGCCGCAAGAGCAGCGACAAAGGCGAGTGTGAGCTTCATGTTGAAAAATGCAGGAGGAGAGTGAGTGGTGGAGGCAGGGTGAAGATGAGATGGTGAGTGGGCGAATGAATGCGCTTGAATCCATGTCCTGCGTGGCGTGATGCTCCACAGGCACGAGGGTCGTCCGCGATCTCGCCTGATCAAGATCGATGAATCGCTGCTGCTGCTGCTGCTGCTGGGTGCCCCTCCATCCTGCTTGATTCCGCAAGAGGGGGTTCAGCCGCTTGGCATCCATCCAGCACCGCTCAACCGTACAGGTAGGTGCTGTGCTGCCCACGCGCCGCCTTGTTGTACGTGCGACGCAGACGCGCTCACTCCACCTCGATCGTGTTCCCGCTCTGATGCCGCCCGCGACTTGATTGCCTCGTACGCGCGGGCGGGCCCTGTGCTGAGCACATCTCGTCTCTACCATGCAAGCGCAGCAGCTAGGCCACACTGCCTCTCTCGCTCGATCGCGGATCGTCCGCTTGCGCCGCGCAGCGCCGCGCAGCCGCGAGTGGCTTGTGCGATACATATACAGTACCGGTCCATGCAGCAGATGCAGCGCCTGCTTATGATGATGATGAGATTGCGCGTCAAGCGGCGGAGCGACAAAGCTTTTGATTTTGTCGAGAGTTTTCTGACGTGATGCGGAGACGAGGCCCCCTCCTTTTGCAAGGTTGCATTCGTGATTCTCCTCCCATCGCGACTGTGACTCGCACACCCAGCACACTAGTGAACATCGAGTCCAGTGGGGGGTCAAGGTCGCCGCTTCGCGAAGTGCGACACCCACGCACGCTGACGGCAGCGACGGGCATGGAAGCAAGAATAAATCTTATTATTTCCAGACGATGTGATTGCGATCAGAGGAACATTGAAAGGGAACGGGGCCAGCTTCTAGGAATGCAAAGAGTCCAGTAATCGATGAGGTGGATGGGGGGGCAAAAGAGCGGCGGATTGTGTATGGTAAGGAGGAAGGGGGCAGCTAGGCAGCGAGCGGGCCGAAGCTAGCTCGCTCGCTTCAGCAACCTGTCAAGATTTTGTTCTTGACTGCTGGGTAGCCAGCATCGGCGTACTTTGTGAGATTGGGATTCATGTAGAGGTTCAGGTGGTCCTCAATGTACTTTTTCGTGGGATGGTCAGGCGGGTCGCACGACACCCTGTCTTCTTGACCGTCGAGCTGGTACACGCGGACGTAGTCCACTCTGCACAGCCGCGAAAGGAAAGTCTCGGGTCAGAGTCGTGGACAAATTGTTTCAAGGCTGTCGGGGAGCACTCAGCACTCACTTCATCTGTGCTGGGAAGATCAGGTCATCCTTGCCGGTCTGCAAGTTGACGGTTTGGAACTGAGGGCTGATCCCAAGGTTCATGACCTGAAGCATGGTGATAGCTTGAGCGGACGCGTCTGGATACGGAAGCTGGGACACGAGATCCAGCACTCACAATGGTCATCGGCTCAGTCGGGACCGTCCTTTGGCCCATATCCAAATCTGGATTCGGTCCGATTGCATCGCCTTTCACGGTCCAGGTGCGTTTGCCATCGACGTACCACGTCACGGAACCGCTTCCATCGGCTTTCCAGTCCGGGCTGTATTCCATTCCATAAGTCACATAACGCTGTCCTGCATTGGTGTAACCATCATCCGGGCACTGGCTGAGTGCACTGACGCTTTCTTGCAAGGGTCCACCCACGTAGTCGTTGAACCTAAGGAGGCAAATGTGGGGTGAGAGTGGAAGTTTGTGAGGACGCTCCTTTGTTCCCGTTTCTGTAGCACACGACCGACTCGACGTACCGCGTGTACTCGCCCACCACCTCTGCCACATCCGACGTGTTCTTCCAGTAGTAAGCATCATCAAAAGGAGCCGTCTGGAGCGACTGCGAAGCGAAGACGTGCTTTGTGCCGCCTCGAGTCTGCACCTGCGCTTCGATGACGTCAATCTCTGGCGCGCTCCTCCCTACGGTCACGTCAGGACCAGGATGATCTTCTCCAGGACACGTGCAAGAGGGCGTCCGCATGCCAGGCAGCGTTGATAGTTGACCTGCGCAGGAAGGGGGAGCAAGTGTAGAGCAAAGAAGCGCACTATCATCAGCATCTGTTAGTGGCAAAGCATGAAAGCATATGCGCAGATGTGTGCCAAAGGAAACAGCGTGGTGCGGCAACATGGGACTCGACTTACCTTTTGGATGCTGATATTCCCCCGTCGAGTGAATTGCTAAGTGAGGTCCGCTCCCATTGACGTAGGTCTGATTCGGGAGGGCCCCCGTATCGCAAGCTTGATAACTGTAAGGCCACATCTTTTTGAGCAGAGATTATCCTTTGTGAGTCAGCTATGCTTCTCGATCGCTCAGCACACATGTCCGATATTCTCACTCTGGAATTTGAAGAGTGCAAAGAAGCCAGTCACAGCGACGTCAAACGCGATTCTCCACGAGACACAGACATTGTACTCACCCCTGTTGAGCATTGTTGGCGGATTGCGAAAGGCGATGCAGAAGTCAGTATGGGGCTGCTTGACATCAGGACACCTGTCACAATCTACGCACATCGGTCGATGCCAGATACCCCGGTCTACCTGAAAGGCTCGGAAAGGAAGCATGAGTGAGGTCGAAGCGGGACCGTGCCGATCATGCTCGATTACCCACCCAAATTTGCCATCGTCCACGCTGCTGGCCAGTAGCCGGACGTGCGCTGCGTTCCTGGCATTTGAAGCGAGAATTCGACGTATCCTCCTTGATAGCAGAATTTGTTCCAGCTTTGAAGCATGCCGGATCTAAAGTTGAGATTGTGTGTAGGCTTCTCCTCCATCGTGATGACCAGAGCGCCGTCTGTGGTGTTGACGGCTTCTGGAGAGTACCATTCGTAATCACCCGTAGCTCCATACCAGATGTCTACAGCCTCCCAATAAGGATCATCTCCAGGCCAAAAGGTCCTGCCGGGCAATTCAAACTCATCGCTAAAGACGATGTGATAATTGCCCAAGTAGCCCTTCCATTTGTGAGCTGCCTCTGGCGTGTCGGTATCCACTATAGACCTGATGGCGGGCGTGATGCCAACCTGACCAGTGCCATTTGTGCCTCCTAGATTGAATCCGCCCTTTGTGGAGTCCTTTTTGCCGAGGAAATGGGATAGGAGTGGATAACCCATGAACAGGACGAGGAGAGCGCCACCGATGACCACCAAGGTCAAGACGTTGAGAAAGCCTCGCAAGTCGATTTCGCTCGAGTGCTTGTCTGCGTTTCGCGGATCGTGCTGGATGGAAAGGGGGGCATGACGAGCGTGTCAAATGTTCCGTCGACGTTGCGCGGTATTCATGCCAGCATCGCGACTGATGCTCTTCGATCAAGAGTCCTCTGCCCTGCCAGCCCTCTTGAACTTCGCCCTAGACACTCACCATCTCATCATCCGCCTCCGCTGCCTTTGAATACGCAGCGACGGGGACGGAAGCGCCTGCGAAGCGACCAGCGCTGCTGAATTGGCTTCCAGTCTCATCGCTGCCAAAAGTTCCTGCTCTGCTGCGTTTCCTCATGTGTGAAGAGGAGACATCTGAAGGCATGCCCACGCTGACGCTCCCCATCGTGCCATTTGGCATCATGCGTGGTGGTGCATTGTTGATGCGTGCGTACGCCATGGCGCTGCTTGGCTGTGCTTCCGCTCAGGATGATTCGATTCGATTCGATTCGATTCGATTGTCAAGGGGGGATGGAGACCGAAGAAGGGGGGGCGAATCTGACTCTGAATGATGGGCGCGAAGAGTGCCGATGGCAGTCGTTTGGGCGATGGCGTGGGCTTGACCGCGTGATCAATAGGAGGCACGACACGCGAGCGGCACAGGCTAAAGCTGGACCGCTAGATGAGTGAAAGGCGAAGATAGGAGATGAAATGAGATGAGGGTTGCTGTCGCAAGGAGCAAAGATGAAGTCACGAGTCACGAGTCACGAGTCACGAGTCACGAGTGTAAGATGGGATCCAAGGGCCTTTTGGAAGTCAAGAGTCAGAGTGTTTAAAGGATTAGTGACATGCACGAGGGACTTGATGCATGTGATTGTAATCGCAAATCGTGAATCACAATGTTCGACGTTGCTGCTACCGGTACATCATCGGCAATCGTGAGACTTGGCATACATCCAGCCAGATGGTGGGTGGTCGGCAGGCACCACAGACACGAATGCGCTCCTCAGCCCGCGGCTGTGAGGTGGTGGATCAGGCAGGCAGACGAGTTACGAGTTTGGAGGTGAAGGGGAAGGGCCAAATCGTGAATACTGTGACTGTATGTGTCACAAATGTTCCGCAAACCTGCAGGCAGCGATGCAAGCAAGAAGGTTTGAATTGGGTCAACGAGTGCAAAGGAGGCGGGGGCGTGCGTGCCTTCCTTTGCGCCCGAGGAGTGTGAGTGACGAATGCAATTTAATGCAGCTTGCAAACGCATCTCTGCCAGGCTTGCAATACGGGAATATATGCGAAGGAATCGCAATCACACTGCACTCACAGACTGTTGAATGTGAATGAATGCACATCACATCTCCTTGCTTTCTTCGTCGTCTCTCTCTGCGCGATAAGGCCGTACGAGGTTCGATAGGGGCAGCAGGCAAGAGGTTGCGAGGTTGCGAC